AAATGAGTTTCTCTTCAAAGTACTTACCTCGGTGAAAACATGTTCAAAATCTTCAACAAGTCATCCCTGGAAGTCGTGAGGTGTAATCCCAGATTTAAGTGGAATTCTCCCATCATTCAGACTGGAGCCTGCCCTCCACACTTGGTGCTCCTGGGTCACTGTTCACAGCTCCCACGGCTTCTGTAATTTGGAGCTGCCCCCAAATCCCTTGCCATTTAGAACACTTCGAAGAGAGTTAAAATTTCTGCCTGTGCCATGAGTCCCAGAGAGAAGAGATGTGCTGCATGCAAAGTGTGAGCTCCAGGGTCCTGTGAGCTATTTTCATCTCATTGATGGAACCACCACGAGCAATTTCATACCCCACCTTCAAGTCACATGGCTAAGTCTCTCTTTATTACACAGAGGAGGTGCACACCCTCACAACTCCTTGAGACCAGGCATCAGAACCCTTGGGATTGCTCTTTCTAACTCATGCACTCACCTTTAGCCCTTACACTAGGCAAAGCGGACAGAGATACTGTTTAAAGGGTAGGTAGGTCTCATCCTCAATTCCCATTCTCCCATATCTGTCCTTTTTAAAAATCTTTGGCGTCTATATCTTGCAGTGACATCTTAGATTCATTTGCCTCCTGCCAGACGTCCCCTCCTCCACCGGCTGTGTTTCATTCTGCCTGTTGTTGGTTCTACCTGTCTCCCATTCTGCCTACTCCCTCTCCTGCCTGTCCACCTGCCTAGTACCCTGGGAGCCCACGCAGCTTTAACACTTGAACACTGAGGGTGGTTCTAGGAGTTTCAGAGGCAAAAGCAGCCCAGGGCTTGAGGAGCAATGCAGAGCAGTAACCACGTCTGCCTGGACAGGGTGGTCCATGGATTCGATTTTTGACGATAGGGGAGCCGGAAACAGAACTCAGGGACAGGGAGAGTTGGTCCCTGCTGCCAGATGACATCTTTTTTCTCTCAGGACCTTCTTCTAAAATATTAATATATTTTCAGTTTATAAAAATGATCTAGTTTTGTCCTCCGACCCCTGATGACTGTGTTTTTTCTTCTTTCTTTTCCTTGTTCCTTCTTTATGTTTATTTTCTTTTTTCTGCTATATCCTTTATATTGCTGAAATATGGATATGTAATTATCTCCATGTTTGTTCCTCAAGCATTTTCTCATGTTATTAAAATAGTGCAGATTTGCATAGTTAATGTTTACTGTGTTAGTGGTAGCATAATATTTCATGATCACACTCTCGGAGGGTTGCCTGATGTAGCAACCAGCAATACAGGGGACCAGGTTCAACCTGAGCTTCAGCTAAACGATAAATGGATGCATTTGTGTATGGATGTCCCATGTAATATTTTCCCTTGCAATATTTGGGACATACTTATTTTTTTTGTTGTTCATCTGAGATTCTGATTGAACTGGACATCCTGTATTTTATCCCGCAATCCTATAAAACATCATATTCTTTAACACAGTCGCTTATTGTTCAACACGATGCAGCTGTTTTCAGCAATGTGACGGACATGTTTAGGCGTAAAATTTCATATTTTGAATTAACTTCCTTAGGTGGATTGTTAGCAATAGAATTACCAAGGAGATGAGTATTTTTTCCAAGACTTTTCAAAGCTATTGCCAAATCGCTTTTTAAAAAGGTTATAGCAATTTATGCTCCCACCAGCAGCGTGTAAGAGTGCTCATCCCCTGCCCCCTTGCTAACATTATCCTCACTTAAATACTCCTTTGCTATTTTGGCAGGCAAATAATGACATACCATTTTCATCTGTGATTACTAATGAAGTTCGCATTTTTTTGTTTAGTAGGCATTTTGTGTCCTGATTTTTAAGTTCTCTGCAACTGTATCCTGACTTCTCTGCCCCTGCTTTGCATTGCTTTGAACTCTAAGGAATATGATGTTTATTTATTTCCTTGTTTTTCCTCTGCCGCTGGGGCTCAACCTGGTCCCCATGCTCAGGATTCAGGACAAGTTCTGCACAGTTACCACCAGCCTACCTGCCACCCCGCCCATTGTTCAAAAGCAAAAGCTTCCTAGGACTTCTAAATGCATTTCAAATAAATCAATTAAAAAGCATAGGAGAGTAATTTTCTTTAGAGCCTACAGAATGAAAGTTTTCACAGTTCTCCCCCAACGCTGCTTCTTGTGTATGGACCAGGTTCAAATACAGCTTCTGTAATGACCCGCTGTGTCCACCACCCAGAACCAGAACCCCGCCCCCCCGAGTGTGCTGTACAGAGGAGTTCTGCTGGGTTCATGGGAGCAATAAAGCTTCATGGTCACCGCATCGCTTCCCTCTGGAAACACGGGCACCCCATGCATGGGGCTCCATTCCAAAGGGAGGGGGGAGCATCGCTCTGGATTTCAACAGGCATGTTACCCCATTCCTGTTGGGGTCCAAAGCTTCAGCATAGTAAAGAGTAGTAAAACAGCAAGATTTGCTTCCTCTAAGAAGGAAAGTCTCAACAGTACACGTGTTCTTAAACATTTCTGTAGGTGAAGTAAATAGCACATTTGCACTCCCTGGCCTTTTGACCTCTAACTCAAGGTGGTGCCCTGCCTCTGTCTCCTTCCCTGGGAGTCCTCCCGATTAGTCCTCGTCACTGTAAAATAAGAGGCCATTGGCTTGCCTTCTCTGTGACATTCTCGTCCCAAGCGATGTCTTCCCAACTGGCCATTTGCATGGTCCCAGGACTGGTTTTGTGGAGATTTGCTATGTTCTCCTGACTTCTTCATTTTCTGCATCATGCCAGCTAGCCCAGCCTTGTTGCATGAAGTTTGCAGCATTACGTGGCAGTCTGCTCCCTTAATTGAGTATCTCTCGATCACCTGTTTGAGTATCCGCCCCGACTCCTGATGCGCTGGGTTTTCTCATCCATGCTACTCAGCACGCCCACTCTTGGCATTCTCAAACCTGCTCTGGGGTCTTTCTTTTCTTTCTTTTTCGACTTGATATTTTAAGCACCTGAGTATACTGCATCCAATTACACATAGCTGGCTTTGGGATTTTGGCGATTCTAATGTGGAAGCCCCCATTTTTAAACTGTTCTGACCTGCTGAAAATTAACTTGAGCCACTGCCAGGTGCATCTTGGCCGATACAGGCCTCTTCTTGCTCCAGAGAACTCCTGGTCTCCTGAGGAGCCCGGCCACAGAAGACTACCTCAGGGAGGGGACTGGGGCGCCGTCTGTGGTGGCCTTTCCTCACCCTCCTGCAACTTTCCCTGAAGCCTGCAGGAGATGAGTCTCCACCTCCCGTTGGCCATCATCAGGGGCCTCAGATTTCTCAGAAAAAATAATTAAAATGTACATCTGGACAAGGGGAAGGACCTTAGCTCAGCTGCTCGGCGCCCACCTTGCAGCCCTGCGTTCACTCCCAGTTTTTTGCCGCTTACTCATTGAGGGGAAGCACTCAGCCTCTGCCTCATGGCCTGTAAAATGGGACAAGAAGAGAATCAGTGGTGGCGTTGAACGGGGCCTCAGCACCGCACTCCACCCATGGTGGTTGATTGACACGTAGTATTACGAAGACCCTCATCCAAAAGCTTGCATCTCATCAAGAGTAGAGATACAAAGGCAGCTTCTTCTGAGCTCCTGGGGATGCCAAATATTTACATATTTCAAAAGTTCATATTCATAGACATTGTGCCATTTTACAAATCATTCCTCCAGCGGAACACCAGCATTCTTTAACTCTTCCTCCGAATACCAACTTGGAATCCAAATCTGGGCAATTACCATCATTCACAAATAATCTACATTTCTGTGCAGACGGAATGTACCACATTGTCATTCTTGTATTTGCTCAGTTTGCATAATGCACCCTTTGAGGACTCATTTGGAAGCACACATGTATACTAGAGAAATCAAATGGATTGGGAGAAATATTGGACCGTAACATTTTGCTGTCGAGTGTGTGTTCCAGATTAATGCAGAGGCCATGGAGGTATCAAATATGCTGCTTGTAAGCGTGGGGTCTGTAACCGTATGCGGTTTGGGAACTCATTGAAGAGGGTAAAATTGGGGATATGTCTGAACGTATGTCTCGTCCTGTAATTGGACTGGACTTGTACTGATTTAATGGGAGAAAATATATGTCCTGTGTTTCTTAAAATGTCATTAATTTAGGGGAAGATACAGAAAAGCAAGGATGGCTTTTAAGATCCTTCGCAGAAGGGATCAGTTGCAGACAGTGGCAACAGGACCACTTGACTCTCCGCCCACCCAGCAAGCTCACTCCCCTTCAGTGCGCCGCGTGGACACACGCCCGTGCATACCCCCAGCAGCACACATACTGGCTGCCTCTTCATTAGCTGCTTTGGCCTGTTGTTTTCTCCGTGTCTTGATTCTGTCGGTTGGTTTCTGTTTTCCCTCCTCCTCTTCTTTTGCTCCTGGCTCTGTCTGCTAGAGAAACCCTTCTCTCGCCCACTTTGCATTCTGATGAGCCTGCGTGCCTCCTCACGTTCTTCTCGTGGAAAAGAATTGGACCATAACTCATTGTGGAATCGGTGGTGATTGCCTCCAAATTGGCCAAGGGGGACACAGGCAGATTTTGAGAAATAAAAGGCCTCTCTTTGCCATGGCCCAAGAGGAAGGGCTGCAGACACATTTCGCCTGGTAATAAGAGCAGCAACTTTCCATGGAGCACAAAACAAGAGTGTCAGTGGTTTCAATCCTGTCTTTAATTTTTGCGTATTTAATGCAAAAATATTTAGAGCTTGTTTTTTTCAGCCTAGACAACCATGTGTCAAGGAAGCATTTAATGCAGTTAGAGAGAAGGAGGTATAGCAAGCCCAAGACTGTGAGGTCGGGATGACCGGTCCTCTTATGCTGGCCAGACAGCCAGGGACCCGGAATTCGGGCCCCCCCCCCCCCCCGCCCACGCCCAGTTGCTTCTCCTTGACCACTTCCACGACGGACTCTTAGTTGATACCAACGTTTCCTATGAGTGGTGTTCTCTCCCCATCTAATTGTTTCTTTTGATTCCTCTGCAGGGAAACTTTGTGGCTTGTATGACAGCTATTTTACGACAAATGGAAGATTATCATTACGCCCATTTGATCAAGACTTTCGGGAAAATGAGGACTGATGTTGTGGTGAGTGTAAGAAGTTACACTTTTTCATAGTGTAGCCCTTTTCATACGACCCTTTTCGTATGACCGTGTTTGGGGGTCAGCATTTTAGGCAAAACACTGGTGTCAGTATTTCCATTTTAAGTATGATTTTGAACGGGGATTTGGCTCCAATTGGTTTGAGAAACCATGTGGCAAGGGAAGCCGTGTTTCTAAGAAGATGAGGGTCCCAACACATGGACTTGTTGGCCAATAGCAGAAGCCAGAGAGTCTTTTCAGCTTTAAATTATACTCTGGTATTAATTAGCTCCAATCATGGGAGCTCATCAGCATTTCTCCAAATAATTCTCTAGCCATCCTCAAAACAACTATGATACAGCTTAATTAAGGAGAAGCGTAATAGAGGGGAAGTTAGTGCTTAGGAACCACCTCCCTAACGACCTGAAGTCCCATGGCCAGACGGCACATGTCTTCCGTAAAGCTGTTGACCTAAACTCTGGGGTCTAGTAACACAGATATCATTTCTGAGACCCTTAGATTCCTATAGGACCCAGCAAATGCTACTAGTGTTTCCAGAACAACATTGGTGACACTTCACATCATTATATCTACCTAACTAAGGGAGGGGAAGAAGAATGCATTTAATGATTATTTTCTAAAGGATTATTTCAATAAAAAGTGTCCTTATTAATTGTTGCCACTCTGAGTGTGTGTGTGTGTGTGTGTGTGTGTGTGTGTGTGTGTATTTAAATTTCTAAGGAGACAAAAATGGGTCAACACCTTAATATCATAGCAGTTTTCCTTAAATTTCTAAGGAGACAAAAATGGGTCTACACCTTAATATCATAGCAGTTTTTCTTAAATGAAAGTGAAGGAACGAGAGAATGTATATGTGTTTGTATCTCTGGGTGTTTAGTTCTTTTCAAAAATCTGGACGTGCAGCTTAAAGGAGGGGTTGCTCAGGTATATGATCTGCATTACACTTGTACCCCTATCATTCCTCAGCAGTTACAGCGCAGTGAAATCATATTTGATACGTGGAACGTTCCATGCAACCAGTGAAATCTTAACTGTATCCCTCAGCCCTGTTTGGGTCAGTGGAAGGAGAGTTGTAGCTGAACCTATATGAACAATTTCCTAGATGGCATTCCAGGCTGAATAATACAGTTTTTAGAATGAGAAGCATTACCCGTCTTGAATACTTAGGGCTCCAATTAATCATTTACTCTTTATCAGATTAGTCGTGTGATCCAAATCCACACATGCAAACCACGAAAAATATTTCATCTGAACTATTAAGAGGTCCCGTTGGTAGGGAAGCTTTAGTGCCTTGTGAAACGTGATTCTACAGCGTGGTTTTTAAAAATGACTATAATTTGCTGAATTCCAAGTGTGTTCCCTCTCTCCTTGCTTGGAGCAGATGATCAGATACTTACTACATGTTGTGGTCCTGATTTCCCGAGGGAGTTTTTTTCTTTAGACACAGCAGTTCAGAAAATCAATTATTTGCAGACGATTTGATTTCCATTATAAAATGGCATTTGTGGTTTGGCTATCACGAGTTCATATTGCAAGGATTGTAGACCTTTTTTATTGTTGTTAATCTGTCAGAACCTTTGTAAAGTGTGTTCCTATCCATTAACTGTACATAGAAAGTATTTGACTATTTTTCTACTCTGACAACCACTCACAAAAATGAGAGATCATTTTGTGTTAAATAATTGAAAGTTAGTTAGTACTGCGATATGAAAATGGCCCAGTCCATTTTCTCGGGACTACGTCCTTGTAACAAGCGCTGTTTCAGGTTTTCAGATTTAGCCCTTGTTTGGTTGGATGAGTGATTCCCATAGAAAACCACAGTTACTGTCAATGCCAAAGTCCTATGCCTCAGTGCTGTTACTTGTACAGTCTCTCAAATGGCCCCTCAGGCCCCGAGCCAGGGAGAGGAGGGAGCGCAGCGTAAGGCAGAATGATCCAGAAAAGAAAAAGAATGGGCATGTATGGTTCCAGACTCTCAGGACAGAGCGCGCCTCAGGGTGACCTGCGGCATCCTCAGTGGGAGGAGGAGCCTTGTGCTGAACACGTCTATTTCTTTTGACCATTTCCTTGTAAATGAAGCCATAGTGAAGGTACTGTCACTGGATAATGAGTCTGGGGAGCGCAGAATCCTTTCTCAATGAAGTCACTCAGTAATTACTTACTGAGCATCAACTTTATGGTCGCACAGGGGAGGAAGTAGTGGGCAAAGCAGACAGGCCTGCTCTCGTGCCCCTGTAGTCTGGTGGGGAACATCACAGTTAATCAGGGAGTCCTTCCAACCAACCCCCATTGCCCACATTGCAAAGGAATGGTCCTTATAAAGTAGCCAGACTGGACTGAGTCAGCTGGTGAGAAAGCCTTTGTGGAGGAAAGGATTGTGGAATATTGAGGAATAGAAGGCAGAGCCATGCAGGTAGGAGGTGGGGTGTCATGTACAGGAGGCTTTGCAGGGGGTGGGGGGTGGGAGGGGCAGGGAGAGGACCAAGGTGGGGATGGGCCTGGACAGGACCCCGTACGCCATGCTGAGAAACTGTGTTCTTCGCTTGTTTGTTTTCAACTTTTTACACCATTTGTTCGCTCCTCATTGTTTTAAAATTATTTTTTCAAGCATTTGTTTTTTGAGTAAACTTTTTGAGATAATTGTGGTCACATGTGGCTGTACAAAGTAATACCATATCCAGTTTCCCCAGTGGAAACGTCTTGCGGAACTATAGTGCCGGATCCAAACCGAATGCCGACATCACTATGGTCCATGGATCTCATGTGCATTCCTCCAGTTTTACTTGTACTCCTTCCCCTGTTTGTCACGAAAAACCAACCGTACAGAGAACCTGAAAGAACAGTACAGTGAAAACTATGATTCCTAACACCCAAATCCACCAATTGCGAGCACTTCGGCATACCTACCTCCTCTGTATCTCTCTTTTTCACTCACTGTGCAGCCACATCCCCTAAGTGTGAGAAACATGCCTCTCCCTTAGTGGTTCAGCAAACCTCTCTCGAGAATTAAGACCTTCCCCAATGGCCTCATTGCCTTTCCAGAACATAACACACCTAATCATCCATACTCAGATTTTCTCAGTTCTTCCCAGTCTTTCTTGTCTTTCATGAGGGTCTTCCTCAAATCAGGATCCAGGCCAGATTCACTCATTGCACTTGGTTGTGCCTCCTTCATCTCTCTTTTTTTCTAGAACAAGTCCCTCACCCTGTCTTGTCTTTATTCGTGCTGCTTTGTAAATGCCTTTCAGCGTGTTCCTCTATTCCTCCAATATGTCCTACAAGCTGGAAGCTTGGCCTAATGTTCCAGCTCATCCTTTTGTCAGGAGAGCTTCAGAGCTGGTGTTACGTGCTCCCTGTTGTGCCCACTGGGAGGGTGGGAATGCTGAGCTGACCGTTAACTGATCGTCAGTTTGATAGCCTGTTTGAGAGCGGCTACCAGCCTGATCTCCCCATTGTGAAGATACGTACCCCTTCACAATTGTCATGTGATCTTTGGCTGGTGCTTTGGCATCCACAAAACGTTGGCCAATGTCCAATCCCCTGACCATTCTTCATCTGATGACTTTAGTATCTATTGAGGGTCCTTGTCTGGAACACGTCCTCCTTTGGCACAGCAGGGTTTCCTTCAGATTGTCGAGACACTGTGTCTTTAATCTGTGAACATTGGGAAGCCCCTGGGGCTGTGGGTTAAATGGGAGGTTGTGAAGTGTTGGTGCCTTGGCCAGATTTGCAATTTGAAAAGGCCATTCTGGGTCAAGGGTGGGGGTCAGGAGGGAGAAGAGTGTACATGGGCAGACAGGCCAGGAGTCCCCTCAGCAGTCCAGGTGAGGGAGGATGGCCGTTTGGTTGGTTGGGTGGGGATGGGGATGGACAGAAGCAGACGGACTGATGGCTGTTGTTAGAGATGCCCACTTATTATATGGGGCATCTTGTGAATAATCAAACTGAAAAATACAGCAGGAATGGATTGGCACTGAAAGAGGAAATTTTCACAGAAGATCTTCTGTTAGTCCTCTGTGTCCCCTTGTTGACTTGGAGATGCCAGTGTCATAGTCTGCTAAGCCTCATCGACCATGGTGAGGACCATCTCCATGGCTAGTAAATTATGCAGACGGACAAGGACGCCTTACAAAACCTCATCCTCCACAATATGCAGCGTTTTGTCTGATCAGCAAAGTACCAAAATTTAACAGCTGAGCCATACTAATGAAGTATGGGACTGTGTTTCCTAGAAAAAAAAAAAAAATAAGGGAGTTGGGAAAATATGCTTCTCTTCCAGAATAATAAAACCCAGACCCTGTATCTCAATTATTAGGCTTTGAGGAGTGATCAGCAAGAAAGGCAGCAATTTCATGCAAATAGAGATGTGGCTAAATTATGGCACTCAGCCGGCCAAATATGCAACCTGGTCATTAAAATGTGAAACTCTTGACAAAGTGGGAAAACTTAAGTGGAGAAATATGAATTGCGGTTATTAACCTTGGGGAGAGACATCCCCCATCCATTGTGTCTGGGGGCCCCTGGAGTGCTCCTGCCCTGTGTGAACTCGGGCTTGGCGGTCAGAGCTGGTGTGAGCAGAGTCTGGAGGACGTGGGGCTGACTTTTCTCTCTTGAAGAGGCCCAGGTCCTGATCTTCTCTTTGACTGGGGGCCTCTGCTGTAAAACGGGGATCACGGTTGCTCCCTGAGTTTTTTATTCATGGTAGGGGGCACACAGTAGGCATGACTTGCCAGAACCCGGCATGGCTGGTCAGGTTGCAAAGAAAGTATTTAAGTTGGCCCAGCAGCTTACTGATGCTGTCAAATTTAGCTGCTGCCTTTTTGCGAGAAGCATTTGTTTACGACTTTGCTGAGAGTTGCTTTCTTGGCTGCTTAAATTCTGTACATCACCTTGGGCTTCACAGCCGTTGCACCTAATTATGATTCCGTAGATTAAATAAATGAGAAATAACCACTCATTTGGCAATTTCTGACCATGGCCTCATTTTTCTAAGTGAATCCTCTGTGGCTTTTCCCCTGCCCACCCCACAACTGGAGGGAGCATGGAGACTCCTCGGGGAGGTGTGCTTCTCAGGGTAACCGCTAGTTTTGTTCTGCTCAGCTCAGAACAAGGGCCAAGCCGGCAGGTTCAGGAAATTCTCCAAATTCTGACAGGCACAGGGTGGAGCCCCTAGGAAACGGGTACCCCTTCCTGATGCCACGAGCAGTCTTAACAGCATGGAAGGAGCATAGGACGGCAGGGAATGACCCATGACGTGCAGAGGATCATGCCCAAGGTTGGCAGAAGCATAACTGCATAGGTTGTGGGGTCATAGCTGCCATCTAAAAGCGGCCACATGACCTCATGCTCCGATGTTTATGATGAACAGAGCTGGTGCAGATGGTCAGGAGTTCCCGCTTGAGCCTTTTATTTGTAAATTACATAAGGAAAAGGAATGGATGTTCCTACCCCATATTCAACCTGCTAGGCCCTGTTCCTAATGAAAAATGCGTTTAGAGTAAATCCTACATGCTATGTTTGCAAAATGTATGTTTTCTTATAAGCAGAAAGAATGCATATTTGTAACCTGGAGATCTCCTCTTTATGACTATGACAGAGACCCGCCCAGGTCCTGTTCCCGAATATATCCCTGAAAAAGTTATCACAGGCAGAAGGTGCTCCGGCAAACAGAAAGAAAAAAGCTCCTGTAAAATACATCTTCATTACTTTTTAGAATGTTTTCATTCCGCTAAAAAAAATGAGGTCATTTATACTGTAATTATTCAAGAGGGGATTGGTTTTCTCCTTTTTCTTTGGTGGGCTGTTGCAATGTTCTGTTTTTTTTTGTTTTTTTTTTTTATTTCAGGATTTCCTGATGGAAACATTCATCATGTTTAAGAACCTCATTGGGAAGAACGTCTACCCTTTCGACTGGGTGATAATGAACATGATGCAGAATAAGTGAGTATAGGGAGAAAAGCTCCCACCTTTTACAAGGTGTCTAATTCATGTCTGCTGGGCACGGTGGTGTTGCCTGGATACCATGGGGGCTCTCCTACAAGGAACACATCCCCGCCATTCTGTGATGCAAACGGTTGTTTGGAGAAACAGACCTGGAGATTGGGTGATTTCCTTATGCCAACGCGGGGCTCTGCCTCCTGGAGAAACACAGGGCTGAGCCCTAGCCCCCCTTAGCCTTGGTCTGGGGCAGCCTCTGTCAAGGGTACGGTTTGCCATCAATTTGCCGTCTCATTTTAACCACATGTGTTTATTAGCCCAAGTGATTCTCACTCTGTCTCAGTTTTTGAAAGGTGTTTGCATTTCTCCTATTTCAGCTTTAAAAAGTGAGCATTTTCTCCGTACTTATTAAATATTAATCTTGTGCCTTGTTTATCATTTCCCTGTGAAGGCTGTTGGTTAACTTTCCAGCGCTTGTGCTCCATAATTTCGGTAAGCACCAACAACGATCACTGGGTTCTCAGTCCCACATGATTCCTGGAAAAATTCCTGTTGACCTCCTTTTTTCCCTCTCCTTCCTTATTGCATTTTTTATGGAGATAATTGTAGATTCATAGGCATTACGGTTATAAAAAGAAATACAGAGAGATCTGTATACACTTTACCCAGGTTCCCTTAGTGATAACATTTTGCAAAACTAGAGCTCCATGTTGCAGCCAGGGGCTCGGTGTCGGCAGAATTCGTGGGGTTACACAGATCTTCCTGCTGTATTTGTGCTTGGCCGCGGCGCCTCTTCTTGAATCCACCAACACAAGGGTCCCTCTTGTTGTCCATGTGTTACATGTCCTCCTCGCCCCTCCACCTCTACCCTCGAGAAACCCGGGCAACCACTAATTTTTCCTCCTCTTCTAAAATTTTGTCATCTCAAATGTGATGTGTAAATGGAATTATACGGCATGTAACATTTCAGGATTGGCTTCTTTCACTCTGCTTCATTCCCTGGAGGTTCATTCAGGTTGCTGGGTGCATCGCTAGTTTGTTCCTTTTGATTGCTAAGAGGCGTTCCATGGTACCGATGTGCTACGGATGGTTTAACCATTCATCTGCCGAAGGACATCTGGGCCCTTTCCACTTTGGGGCTATTACCAATAAAGCTGCCACGAACATTCGCATACAGAGTTTTGTGTGAACATAAGTTCATTTCTCTGGCACAAATGCCCTGGGGTAGAACTCTAGGGTTGTATGGTCGCTCCACGTTTAGGTTTATAGAAACTGCCCAACTACGGCTGTATCATTTTACATTCTCGCCAGCAGTGTGAGAACGATCCCGTTCTTCTGCATCCATGCTGGCATTTGCCGTGGTCACTATTTTTCATTTTAGCCCTGGTGGTAGAGGTGTGTGTCTCACTGTGGTCTTGGTTCGCATTTTCCCCGATGCAGCAAACGATGACTTGCCATGTCATTAAAGAAATCATCGTCCCGGTCACAGTGCTGACCAGAACCAAAGGCAGGCCCTGGTGCAGGGTGTGGACTTTGTACTCTACCTTGTGACACTACATGTGAACTTGACCTGCATCTTTCTGACAAGAGTGGCCGCCGCGGCCTGGCACCCAGCCTGTCCATTCCGCACCCTGGGGGTGGGGACTGCTCCTTCAAAGGTCAGATGTGAGTCACACCTCAAAGCTGTTTGATTCTGTGCCTCTGATCCCAGAAAAGTACAGCCACACCCTGTTGATTTGCGCTATATTACGATGAGTGAGGGTCTGTTTTCGGTTTTAACATGATGATCGCCCTATTCCCTCTTCCTTCTATTCCATCATCGGCCTCCTGCTACCAACCCTGATATGTCTGAGCATCACCCCAGACCTGCATGTGGGTGAAAGCCACGTGGCCTTTGGTTCAAAGTGTGGAGCACTGTGCTCAGGGTCCCCTTCTCTGGACATTCTGTCCAGCTTCTCCCGATGTGTTCTCTTGTTTCTTCATTGAGAATGTGGCTTGACCTGTGGTCTCCAGAATTGCGTGTTCCCTGCGCGTGAAGCCAGCTTTGTCCCTGTGTCCTGGGTCACTAGTGCACGTCTGCAGGGCCCCGCCGTGTTACCGAGACACAGGTGTGTGGTGGCATCTGGGACCCAAGCCTTTGCATCTCGCCACAGGGAGGAGAATTCTTGTTTGGGGGGCAGGGAACCTCTACGAGGGAGAAGCCACATCTGCTGTGTCCTCATTGCAAGCACTAGGATGGCCACTTCTGAGGATAAAGTCTGGTGTCGGTGATAATAGAATTCAGGTCTGGAGCAGGGAGTCCATCCTGTTCTCTTGTTTGGAGGCTGCAGCTCCAAGAGCCAGCTTGCTAAGGGACACACTGTGAATATAAACTCCCTGTGGTCTGTGTCGTACATAAATTGTGGTACAGAAGTGTCCCAGCTAAAGTCCTAGTACCCTGGGGCCGAGCCATCCAGCCCATACTGCTTTCCTCTGCAAGAGCTTTTCGAGGCTGAGTGGTTGTGTGTGTGTGTGTGTGTGTGTGTGTGTGTGTGTGTGTGTGTGTGTAAGTAAACGCGTGGTGCACGTACACGTCTATGCACGTGGGGGAGTGTTGGCACCAAGTGAAGGCACTTGGATTTGTGGAGATTCTGGCTGTGCGAGGCTCAGAGCCACCCAGGTTCCTGTCACAGTTGACGCATTCCGTAGGAATAGGGTCCCAAGCCAACGTGTGTAGCAGACGAGTGAGCTGCGAAGGGCGCGTGTAGGTCAATGTTCGTGCAGCAGTGACCGTAAGCTTCGTTCTGGAATCCCACTGCCCCAAAATGCTGACCCCTCTGCTGAGTGAACAATATTGGTTTTTAGAAGCTGAATCAGTTGGGTCTTGGAAGAAAAGCTTTTACCTCTGGGCCAGCAACTAGCTAAAACTTCAAGCCATCCCAAGACATCTGGGTTCGTGACCCTTCAGTTTTCTTTAAAGTTCTTGCTTAAGTGCCAGCTTCAGAATGAAGAGTTTATTTCATTTTTTAGTGAATGCAGTCATTCTTTGCGATGTGTTCCGTGTTTGCATCTGAGGACTACAGATGAGCCTTTGACACGCTTGCCGTGTGCCCAGTGCTGCCGTGGGGATAGCGCAGTAATCATGCCCATAATCCCCACAGCCGCACTCTGAGACAGCTGGGTTTTTATGCCCATTTTACAGATGGGGAGATTGAAGCCTAAAGGTTTGGTAACTTGCCAAAAGACACACAGCTGGGCAGTGATAGGGCCAGTCTTTAAATCCAGAGCCCACCCTCTAAACCATCCTGCTGCCTTGAATATGTCTTCTGTTCTTCATAGAGAGTGTTGTTGTTTTTAACCCTGTGTCCTTTGAGTGCACCTTATTTCCTGCTTCCCTGACTGAATGTTAAGCATGGAAGTCAAAACCTTCTTACTCGGCTTTCTTCTCAATGAAAAGTATATGCTGCCTTGTATGAGGAAAACTGCTGCATCTTCGAGACGGACTGGGAAACAAGGGTTTTGGGTGAATGTGTTAACCTGCCTCTAGACTTCAGTCTCCTACCTCCGGGACCCAGCCCAGCCGTCCCTGGTGCAGACGACCTGTCCCCACAGCCCACGTCTTCTGTCCTGCCCGTTTCTCCTGCCTAGTGGGCATTTGTGCAATTCGGGACTTCCATTTCCATAAGCTGACCCAGTAGTCTTTTTTTTTTTTTTTTTAAAGATTTTATTTATTTGAGAGAGAGAGAGAATGAGAGAGAGAGAGCATGAGAGGGAAGAGGGTCAGAGGGAGAAGCAGACTCCCTGCCGAGCAGGGAGTCCGATGTGGGACTCGATCCCGGGACTCCAGGATCATGACCTGAGCCGAAGGCAGTTGCTTAACCAACTGAGCCACCCAGGCGCCCTGACCCAGTAGTCTTGATTTAAGGACCTTCCTTCCTTCAGCTCTGAACAGATTTTTCCCTCAATTCCAAAGATAATGAACCTTTCCAGTTTACTCATTTGTGGGTGGCTTCTTTTGCTCTTGACATTCAGTCCTGTTGTAATTACGTCTCAAATGGTGAAAATCAGTCTCAAGTCAGTCCCAATAAAATACGAACCAAGTAAAAAAAAAAAAAAAAGTATATGCTGTTAAAGAGGGTATCATTTATTGCTGAAATTTATAGAGTCCAGCTGTAAACTTCTAGAAGAACAAAAGCTCACTATCATTGTAATAAAATAATTTCCTATAGAAATTACAGAGATACCATATAGCATTGTCTCTGTGCTATTATCTGTTTGTTTTTTTTTTTTAAACCTATAACTTCATTGCTCAGTACCTTACGTGTCGCCAGACTTCCATGCTCTTCCTCTTCCTGGCATGTGTTGGGAGACCTCCTTGCTTCCATAGGATAAACAGTGATTCCCAGAAGCTTCCAGGAGCCTGTATTTTAGTTTTAATGGCACAGCTGGACATGCAGTTTTACCATCCACAGCTTCGAAATCGACAGACTCAGCCCCCGTGGTCTCTTAAATATTTGTGTGCTTGTTCCGCTTTGTGTCTGCAAATGTACCATTCTTCAATACATGGAGCTTGTCCAACGTAATTAAAGATGGTGCCTGTCAGTTCTGGAGCAACCACTTGTAAATCAGGAGTCAAAGTTATAGGATCCAGTGAATGTCCCCAGGACAGGAGTTACTTGGATGCTGTGTTCAGGATATCAACTGAGTGGTGATGGCCTGACATTATAGCTCTGCTCTTGGATATGACAGTGCCAGATGATAAGATGACATTTAAGATGAGCACAATTCACATCGCGTAGAAGTGTGCTTGCATGTTATCTTCCAGAAGTGCTTTATGATCTTCCCTGAGGGAAGCAAAGGCTGAGTCTTCATGTAAGATCTGCTGCTGTATTGGAAGCAGAGACCTTCTCTGTTAGCCTTTAAGTGCTAGGACCCATCCTTGAACTCCTAGGAGCCAACTCTCTCAGATTTATGCTTCGTGGTGTGTGCAGCAGAGTCTAATACTGAAGACTTATACGGTGGCT